CAAGCCCTCCCAGCGGCCATTTTTCAAATGACATCCCTCACCTTCCTGGGGCTCTTCTGACTAATTTTCAATCCCATTTTTGTCTGCTTTGCCCCCAGATGGATGCCCCTGAATCTACAGAGATGATCCTATGCCATACTGACACAGTCCCATCATTTCTTGGCCCAAACAGACCCCTCTTTTCGAAAGAATCTGCAGGGGTGCTTTTTGTGCGCCTCCGGCTGGCGGAGAATTTTCCTTGAATTGGGACACTGCACCCATAGACCTGGAGGAGAAAATGCTTGGACCGGACATTCTTGAAATTCAAGTAGTCTAGTTGACCGGCGCAACTAGCCTATTCCGATTGAGGGCGCTGTGCATAGTTATGTCCCGCGATGACTGTGCAACGTTCGAAGTGTTACTTTTTACGTTTTGTAAAAACTTCACGATTTTCACCACAAAAAAGACGTCATTGGTGAAGCGTGGGACATCCTATGGTACCATTTTTCCACATAAACAACTCAAAAGATGGTCAAGTGATGCAGGTACGTTAAAAACCACTTCTTGTTTTCAGGACTTGCGTTTTGACACAGCATGGTGCACTTTGCCTAGTCGCTAGTCTGTGCTAGGGCCCACCATGCATGCCTACTGTCTACAGCGCACTGGAGTAAGGCACATAAACCATTGAGCAAACAATGTGTGGTGTCAGTCATTTGTAAAAGTGTAGGACTAACGTTACCTAGCCCAGTAGATGTCGTCTACAAACTACAATACAGTAGAAATGTACTTCCAGTAAGTATGATACCAAAAAATTAAAAATGTATAAAATTATATTAAGCTTGAAACCAGAGAAATAGCTAGCCTACATCATACATGTATGACAATACAGGCCATTTGATGTTGTAGGGACTGTTGTAATACTGCGCATCACAACTGCGCACATGTATTTCCCCATTTACAAATGTTGGCGATCGCGGTCTTGTGTTGCCGCTGTTGCACTCTGGGATAGCTTGATGTTCCCATGCTGCGTGGTGGTGTATTTTTGTCCTACATTGATAATAGTGTTCAACATCGAAATCCGCATGAAACTCAGCTGATTTTTGAGCCAAAAACGCCAATTTTCAGGTAAGGAACCAGATATTTCTTGGTTTTAGGGTGAAGGGGTTGTGTGAATGTCGATGAATGCATTTTTAATCAATAGAACGGAATTGAAACTACATGTACCTGCAACAACTTACCTCAGGTGGGTATAGTACATTGCACGCGATCGCAATCGATTCTTATGTTGGGACTCATGCTTCAACTTTCGATTATCATGGCCTGATGGATATGTTGTGCAAGCGGTACATGTACTATAGTTACTCATTTAATAACTAATGATATTGATATCTGAAATAATTTTAAACAATTTGATGAGATTCTTTTGATAGTTTTGCTCTAGCTTCAAAGAATTTAGCAAGCAACGTAGTGGGGGTAGAGGTAGTTCCTCCAGTGGCAATATTTGTATCTCTTGATACAAAATGGCGATCACTCATTAGTAAGACGCCACCAACATCATAGTTGAGGCTCTTCCATCATGTATGCTCACTCCCTGCTTATTAAATGAAGTTGCATGTATTTGCTTTGGTTTTTAAACATTTTTAAGTTATTTTTGTTTGTTTTTAAATTACATGTAGTTCCAAAATCTTTTGAAGTAATTGTTTTATTCTAGAAATATTTTCTGATCGGTAGACTTGGTTTGGGCTGAAGGAACTCTAGCAACAGGGGTTGTGTTTTCTTGTGCAAATAGAAGTGTTATATTTTATAATTGGTTTTATTATTTTTTATTTTATTATTTTACCAGTATAATTATTATTTTACCATTACAGACTTTGACTGCGATCCAGGGCTGGGTACCATCCATCAAAATGGGAGTGACTTTAGAAGTATGCCGTCTCCAAGTTGGCCTCTTCCTGCACATTCATCCAAAGCTCGACGTCAACATTCTTCAAATGAAACGACGGGGAGTACATGTACATGTACCTTTAGTGTACATGTACATGTAGGTTCTGCTTGCAGAACCTTTCTGATAATTCTCCTGACTGTAACTAGGGGAAAGTCAGCCTTCAATTGTATACCAATTTGTTATGAACCACTTCGACTTTGATCTGCTTAATGGACATGTTGTTCAGTTGTTCAACTTTCGAAAACAAAATGGAGGTACTTGGAGTGATAATGCCCAATGGACGATGAAGCTTAATTAAACCAGATTGGTTGGAAAATGAAGGGGGCTGGGGTCGGCATTTCAGCGTACAATCAAAAGCACTTATTGGAATGCATGATAAGTTTAAAAAGAGCAACCAGGGAAAAGATGTGAAGGACGAGTTGGAAGCATGGGAAAAAGATGTGTAGTGTACGTGTTGCCTGAGATTTCTGATCCACGACCAATCCATCAACATTTGATATCAGCATTCTGAAAGCTGAACTTGACACTGTCAAATCATGGAATGAACAGTTAGCAAAAGAAAATAAAGAACTGAAGCAGAACATTGAATTCCTATCAAAGAACCTGACGAACAATCGTAGACTCTACAAAGGCGTCGTGAAAAATACCACAAGTCACAGGCTACATCACTTCGCAATGAGAAAAAAAAGCTGGAGAAAGACTACGACAAACTTTATTTAAAAAAGGCAAAAACCTGAAGGTCACTGCAATAATCTCACCAAAGAATTACTAGAAACAAAGGAGATGTTGTCACAAGCCAAAGATAAGATTTCTAACACTAACAATGAAGCTCTCGAAACCAATCATCTTGCTTGAACTGAATCTGCTTGCCCTGAAGAAGGTACTCAGTTACCAAAAGCTTGGTAATCACATATGTCAGAGCACTGATTTTATTTTATATTCTTGTCAATATTCTGATCATGGTGCTACGCAGCCTTTCCATATTTCTCAAACCAGTTTTTCTTGCTGGATGCAAGGTGCTAGGTTTGATGAATAAGTTGATCACGGCACCTCTGTGGAGGTTCACAGAAACCAATGGTCACATATGAGATGTGTGCCCACTATACAAAGTTTCAGGAATTTGTTAATGACTGTTTGAGCAGAGGTACAGACTTGTTCAAATTTATTAAGGGTGAAGTTTCACCATTTGATGAGCATTTGATTTTAAAACATGAAGTTTACTACAGCCTCATTAAAGAATTGCCACATGACAAAAATCACCTTAAGCATGATCTGATTCACCTCCACAGCAATTAATCCCCTTTTGGGGAGAGTAGTAAAAGATTTCTGCCCATGACTTACAAATGGATTGCAAATTAAACAACAAATATCATTGGCACCCAAACACACAGTTACCAGAGAGAGTGTTTGGGTATCTGGATTTTTTTGCTAAAAAAGAGACCAAATGTGAAGTAAAACAACTGAAGCACTAGTTACGTTCACTTTTAATGAAACGGCAAATTATATCGATGCACTATCAACTGAACAGTTGCACAAAGATATTCAGTCAGTTATGATGAAAAGAAAAGAATCACAAGAAATGGTAAAACAACGGGAAGAAGAACGACACAAAGCCCTACCACAAAACAAAAGATAAACAAGACAAACTCAAACAGGCAGAGCTGAACAAATTCAGAACCAGGGAAAAACGTACGTCAGTTATTATTGATGCTGGGCTGTGGCAATCAAGAGAAACCGTTCCAACAGGAATTAAACAATATACCAATTTTCTCATACAGCAACAGGCACAGACATAAAACATGTTTGTCATACAGTGTAAAATCACCATGTCCATTCTGTATGGAAAAAATCTTGTTAATTACCATAGATACGTTGTCCTTGTTTTTGGTTAATTTGTTTATGTTGTTTCTATGGTAACCACAGATGATAACCAATAATGGATTAGGTCCAAATTATTATTTATCAATTTTACATCCTTTTGGCTACAGGTACAAAAATAACGTCTGTACCATTTATGGTTAATAAGATATTACTTTTGTTCTCTTACTTGTTTACTACATTAGATGAGCTATTTTTGAATTAAACAAATTTAACATACATTTTCTCGTAAATCTGTTATCCAAAAGTTGGCAAAATTTCTTCTGAATGTTGCATATTCTATATAGAATCAATTCCTGTAGTTTGTATGTGATTTGTGTATATTATTTTCTGTATATGATAAAATTAAGGATTTATTGTTAACCTGTGTTTCCATGGTAACAATGAATAAACGTCTGCGAAATTGCAGCGTGGACTGGTCTATTACACGTGTTTGTATATCTGCTTTCAGTGGTTAAAAAAACATTAAATACAAATTTTAGTAATTCCTGTTTCTATTTGTTTACCTTTTTGTTTACATGTTTATCTAACCTAAATAAAACAAAAGATGACCCAGATTTTACCAAGTTTGCCACAGACATTTTATAAAAACAAAGGCACTTCTGGTGAAACTTTAAAAGTCTGTAGCTTCACTGTTCAAGGCCGGGCTTTCACTATTTTGGTGTCGTTGTGTGCAGAATTATATACTGTGTATAGCCAACTACTTTAAAACAGTAAATTAACAAAGCAATCTTTTTGATGTCAGTCCCTTTTTGTAATGTCTTACCATTGTTTTTGCAATTTTAAGCAAAAGCCCCCCAAAGCATTTGTGATACTGTACAAAACATAAGCGTAAAAATGGTTCATGCAAAAAGAAACACATACTGGAAAATATAAAACTGAACAATATTATGTTAGTAGAAGTTATCTTAAAAACTTGTATTGAAACTTATTCATAAAGAATAAAAAGACATTTAAATGCCTTATGAAAAAGAACCAATGTGATAAAAGTAAGTATAAACTTATAAAATGGATTTTAAAAAACATTCATCAAGGTTGTTGAAACCAATATAGTTTTGAAAGACTTTATCATGCGCAAGTGCAATGGCAACTTTTGCCCAATTTACATCGCATCAGCCTTCTTTCCAAAGCTTTATTTTCCCTTGTGTGAGATCTTGCGGAAGAAGGAAAACTGGAAATATTGGTAAATAACAAGAACAAAAAATTCATGAATGCAGCATTTAAAGACGTTCCTCCAAGTTCTCTTTTTGAAAAAATATAATATTTGAGGCCAAAAGGCCAAAAATTAACCTTACAAACCATGTTCTGCCACCAATTTTAACAATTTAAAAGCCTGAGGGGTACAACATACATGTAATCTTGCTCATCAATAGATGGCAGCATTTTTCGACATGGTTTGTCAAGAGAGGGCAGGCAAACACTGCTGCATCTAGCGCAGTCTAAGTCTGAAAATGGCATTGCGTACGATGGTCAGCTGATATGGGTGGTCTGAATTTTGTCTGCTTTTGCAAGAAGTGAGCTACATTTTTTAAATTATCTCAACATTTAATGAAAGAAAAAAGACTTATGAACATTTAAGAGTAATTAAGAGCTGGAATAGCTTGTTTGGAACAGAGCAATTGGGCAGTATCATGGGAGAGGTTGCAAAATGAAAAATTGGATATTGATGCCTTTTTTGATAGACGTTTGTTGGAACTTAATGCTTTTTGTCTCACATGGAGT